TTTACATGCCTATACAATAGCCTGGGGTTTGCAATAAACTTTCTCGCCAGCATATCCTGATACTTGTGCTTGTCTTCCCGCACCAAATTTGTACAGTGGTTCCGAATGAGCCTGTAAGCTTCCCAAGTGCTGGGGCATGGACGGCATTTGAACTTCCTCCAGTGAAAGTCCCTTTGCATTATCTATTCCCTAGTTCGACTGCGAATTGCTGGTTTTCACACTGGTACACGAATTTGGAGATAATCGTCTGTTGCATTCAAAAATCACGTGTACGGAGGTTTAGTGATGATATGTTGAATGCGAGAGTTTCCATGAAGAATATATTCAATAAAAACTCCTAGTTATTTGATACAGCTCACCTGGGACACCGATTCAGAGCAGATAGCTATTAGATCAGATAGGAAGGAAGAGCGTGATGACGCAGAGAGACGTTCAAAACATTCAGGGTGATTGAGAGAGAGACTGAAATTAGTGGGAAATTGTTGAACGATATCCGAGTTATTAGAAGATTGTAAAAGATGAGAAGAATCGGAGATAGCCTGGTAGTAAACTGCATCTTCGGCGTGTTTGAAACGGGAATCAGCGGCGCTAACTAACAGTTCATTATTATAAGTAGAAAAAATTATAAGATAAGGGTTGCACCCTAAAGTACCCCAGGGTTGTTCATCAGTGGTTTGGATTTATTTTGATCTGTGCTGGTTCACTGAATTCTCCTAGAAAGGTAATCCATAAGCCACATTAATAACCGCATGGGACAACTGAAGTTCTCTAAGTTACGAAGAAGGATGAAGCGAGGAATGAAACCAAGAACAGATGAGTAGCACAGAAATACGCAATGTACAGATTTCGCAGGGTCATTCATTTAAAGATTTATCAGTTTTATGTACAAATGAGGAAACTGCGTCTGGCGTGTACCTGTTTTATTCGTAAGCAAACGGAAGAGAATGAAACGGGATATCAAAAGAGAGCTGGATGCATGTAAGAATACTCCGTTCTGTTAGGTTGGGACCAACAGAAGTTAAAGCGATAGGTCGGAAGCATTTAGTTAGAATGGTGGAATTAGAGGTCTCCAATAGTCCAGGATGGAACTGGTGTTTAAGGAAGTGCTTAAGAATGATGGCAATTTTTCAGTAAGATAATAGGCTCTTCATCTCAAAGAAAAGGCGTAAGACAATCGGGACCAAAACTAGAAGTGGATTTCATGGTACGTAGATGCTTGAAAGCTTCTTCCATCGAAATAGTCTGTACTTGAAAGGCATCCTCCAGAACAAATGGCCTGAGGGAACCGTTTGATGTGAAAATATGCTGCATTAATACTGTCCCAATTCTTCGCGCCAATCGGAATTTCGGCTTTGGCTCCCACAGTAATTTAATGCTTTGTCAAGTTCGATTACTATTGTTTTGGTACAGAGGTTGATTGGCATGTGACAGAGATAGGTCATCGAACTCAGCATAGATCAGGTGAGAATAACACTTAACAGCCGCTGAGTCTTTCGACTTGTACGATCATTCCTTCTGTCTTCTGAATGATTTTAACAATGGAGCTAATATTCTGTCGCTACAGACCAATAGAGTTTCGAAAGGACAACAGGCGTTAGGGATGTGTTCGAGTATTTTAGTGGATAAGCTGGATGCTTGCATGAATATTATCAGCTTCAGTAGCCGCGCATGCCCGACGTCCTATCCGGACCCACTGCAAGGAAGTCACGTGTGCTACCGTTGAACCAAGCAGGTCACATTCGGATTAAACGGAATTGCCTAGTTATGTGATAAACGTTATTGATTTAGACTGAACATCCTCGAAACTTTATCTTTCCCACATCACCATTGACAAGTAACTGTGAGTTGAATAACCTAGCTAATTTAATTGGGATGGTATGCCCAGACGTGCAAAGTTACCTTTTACTTCCTCATTAGAGATTCTAAATTGAAGGAGACCGCAGGTGACATGACTGCATAGGACAAACACCGAGACCCATGTATCTATTCAATTTCTACACAATCATGGATTAAACATGTTCTGCACCTTGATCTTGGCACTACTGTCAGCTCAGAACATTCGACACTTATTACTCTTTCCTTGGTCGATCAAATGAAAATAAACTGTTGAACAAATGATTATTGTATTTGCAGTTTGCTAAAACATTAACGGATCCCCTGGATCTACAGTTTCTCCCCTTCCCTCTGGCTATAAAGTGAAAGAAACCTGTTTGATGAGCGCATCCTGAGATGTTGATTCCTCACCTTGTCAGCAATCTCCCAGAAAGGAAAATGTTTTGTTGGCTAACGAAAGCTATTTATATTTTAGCAACTTTTTGGGCACATATGTCTGCTCAATTTTGTCCCGCTATACATCGCGTCCCCTTCTGAAGCTTTGCGCAGCGTGCAGCTCCATCTCCATGTGGTCCAGTTCCGACTTAGACGGGATGAATTTCTCCGGCATAAGGCCGGTTCTATTTAGATCACTAGTACATGATTAGAAAATTACCGTCACAATATTCTGTGGAATTCAGGAGATTTGCTTCTGTAGATCATCTAGTGAAATTTTATCGTGTTTAGGAAAAGTGAAAAACGTCGGAGATTTTTCAACTCAATAAGTCAGATAATCGTCTACTACATATCTCTTGGTCAACCCACCACCTCTCTTTAGCTCTTTTCTATCCTATATATCCCTGAATCCATTTTAACAGTATTATCATGGGGTCACACTATAAGCCGATGCTCTCATATCAAAAATCGGGACAACGTGTACAGCGTAAGTGTGCCGCTGATCCTAAATGTTCTTCCAAATCCTCGTCAATAGCTGATCACTTCATCACTGATTTGCCATTCCGAATTATCTCCTTATTCGATAGCCAAGCAAGCATGTACTTCCATAGGTCACTGAAATACGAAAACGAATCAAAAGTTTTCTCGGAACCATTTCGATTTGAAATGCATAAAAATCGATAACTATTGTTCACATCCCGCCAGTGTTGTTTACATTATCCACACACGAGGTGAACACGTGATAGATCACACCACTCTCTAATCGGATGAGGACCACTCTGTTCACTTGAACCGCATGGCTTATGATCGGGTTTGTGCGTTTGTTTGTGTTTGTCTGTGTGCACACATTGTGTGCGAACAAGTAAAGGTACAGAGAACAGGGTTGCGCGACTATCAACTTTTCGACAGATCAAACGCAGCAAGTGAATCTTGAATTGACCACCTATTGGCGAAACGTAAACCACTCCAAATCCTGATAAGTGGCATATCTTTGCGGTGGTCTTTAGAGTAGGATGAACAACGGTTCATTGAATCCCATTCGATTCGTTTGACAAGTAGTACAGAATGATCAGTCACTTGGTATCCACCTCTCTGAAGCTGTAAACAGCACCACAGAACAACTGTAAAATTCAGGACACATTTAAAACTCTTGTAATCCGCACTGAATCGAGTGGGGGTTTCCTTGTGCTTAAGCGTATCATCAACATAGTACATCCCTCCTACAGGGATAAATGCACTCACCCTCCATATGCATGTACCTAGCCATTCCAATCTTCGTACAGACCATTCTTTGCCAAATTTTCAACGTTTCTTCCTAACATAAGAGCAGAATTTACAAACTTAATGAAATAGCTCTTACTAACAGTTTTATAACTTGGTAATTGGTACTCTGCTCCATTTGGTTGCTGTTTTCTCTTAATGTAAACCAAATGGTAGTCGAATATGTAACGCCCGATGAATAAGTCAAGAAATTCATCTGATCCAATGGTTTTATCTGGACTGCTTTTTGCAATAAAGGAATGTAAATGGTTTGTCAATCACAAGGGGTAGGGTGTGTTTGTAACTGAGCCGTAACTTTAGCTTGGAAGTAGAAAGACGTGACTTGTTGAGATCAATCATAAATATGGATAAGCTTAACGACGAATATTCATATTGCACACATTTTGTGATGAATAGCATATTAGCCAACACCGTCGATTCGGTGATGAAAACCGGCAACCTGAGCCCCCGGGCTTGGGGTGGTGAACTACATGTTAAGGCCCCATTAAGATAAGCGCGGACGATAACAAAGCTACCTCCCATTAAAGTTGAGTGGTGGCGGCGGTGTTCGAACCTAGTACCATAAGGTCCAAAGCACACCGGTGATAGCGACTAAACAACTGGGAAAGCGTCACTCATATATATATATATATATATATATATATATATATATATATCAGCAGGGAATGGAGGCGTACAGCGAGTTGCAAAATATATTTATATTTATATGTAACATCCTGAGATACAGCAAAATCGTTCCGCACATAAAGCGTTCAACACCGCGAAGTAGATTTCCGGAAAAGCTTGCTTCAGTATATCTATGTCTATACGTGTAAATATGTATATTGTTGTGGAAAGGAATATGTGCACGAGTGGACTATGTTTTCCCTCTGTTTTGATCATAACCGTCACTACAGCTTGTTCACTATGGCGACATGAACACGCGTCTGACCCGCAGTTGGCTAAAATGTTTATGTTGTCCCGCTCTGAACGCATTTTGATACCGTGTCCACTATCTCTGCACGGTTGGTGACCCAATCCCCTGTGGAAGCATGTGACCTGAGTGATCGTTTTTTCACTTTGTCACTCATTGGGAGGAATTATTGAAAATATCTCTCAGCGAGATTTCGGTAATCATTGTTTCCGAAAACCCAGGGAAGAATAGTTATTTTCTCATCAGAGCTTAAATTTTTTTTAATTTAAACGCCTTATCGATAGTATTCACCCAAAGAACACGGAGTGAGAACGCTTTTTTCTCATCTTTGCTAATTTATTATCATTTCCTTTCCCTATTGCATAGGTCATCGATTTTCAGATCAGCTCACTCTAACAGTTTCTATTCTTCGATTTCCTATCGGCAAAACAATGGGTCTGAATGTGCCTGCCTACCCGCTTTACATGTTCCCAATTTCCACCGGGTCTATTGCCTCCAGTTTGAAAGTGAGCGGATTGCCAGATGTGACTGGCGAACATGTTCTGTTCTGGGGATCGGATAGTCAAAAGTTGCATTTGTACCACTTGAGTCATACGCCACTCGCGGTTCTACTTGATACACTGACCTCGACAACTACGGCAGAATTGGAGTACCCGGGGCGGAGCTCTATGGCACAGATTGTTGTACAGCTTCTGGAAGCTGCCGGTGAAACGCATCGGGACGAAAGGCACATCAGGTGTTATCCCGGTTCGCCGCGTTCACTCATCGCATGTTTACCGGTGACCAGATTCTGCAGGCCGATCCAGTTCACTCTGCCGGATCAATTGGAGCATCTG